ACAATAAAAGAAAGGAAGTGATGAAGCAAAGATGGCGAGCCAGAGAAAGAAAAGCGGAGAATAAGAGTATTAATGCCCTGAGTAACCCTGTGACAGTGACTGTGATGAACTTTGTTGTGAGTTCAGCAGCATCATGTAAAAATAATATCTGTGCAGTGCTCAAATACTACACACAACCACACACACACAAACACACACACACACACACAAACCATGAAAGTGAGAGTCGGAGCGATGTAGTGGCTGAAAGTCATGAAGCTGTTGCCTAATATGGCCATCACATATTAAAGCTGCCTGCCTCCTTTCTTTGCTGCTGGGAAGATGAGGACAAACCCCACACACAAATGTTTACACACACACAAAGTCAGAATCACGCCCACAAGCACTTTACTCTCCAATAAGACCTCAAAAATAAGAGCTGACCACAGGACCTGCCCCCTCAGCTGGAGCAGACCAATGTGCGGACCGGACGCTTCAGCGGGACCCGTCAATCATTTACGTGAGAGGACATTGGGGTCAACAGGCAGAGAAACCCTGAGAAGGAAACCCTTCAGCTCTAAAACACTGACAGCATTGTGCGCCCGTGTTACAGAGAGGGCTGTTGTGCAAATACACCGAGAGAGCCGTCTGCTCCCGAGCGCAGAGAACCCATGTGTGTGTTTGGTAGCGGATGTTTTGTTTGTTTACCTGTGTCTCAGAGATGCACAGATGGGAAATACTTAGTGCACGCATGCTACCTCTGCGAGATGAGAAAACAAAAAAATGGAAGAAAAAAAAACAAAAACCCTTTTCAGCTGCCTCAGGGTTCCTTTTCATGGCTTCATTTTGGGGGAAAAGGTTTCAGTGAGCGATTATGTAAGACTTTCTCCTGCTGCTCATAGGAAAAAACTGTTAGATCAGTGCCTGCATGCACAGAGAATATTTATATGTTTAGAGCTAAGTATGCGAGTCTCACATACTGCTAAATGTATTCCTTTTAAAGAGCCGTGTGTGTGTGTGTGTGTGTGCATTTTTCTGTTAGGCCAAAGAGAATGTAAGATAAGAAGAGGAAGTGACCGATGAGAAGAGGAATGCTATGAAAGAATGAAGGGGGGGGGGATTGGTGTCCAGCCTTGAGCCAGGGGCCACGCCCTTGGTTTCTCTCACACACACACTGCTCTCAGCAGATGAATAGCAGAGGCTCAGAGGTTACACATAGAAAATAACCTTCAGATTACACAAAGCCACGGGGGACGTGACTGCTTGGCTCCATTCAACCCCTCTTCAACAAATTTCCCACGTGTGGGACTAATAAAGGTTATCTTATCTTATCTTATCTTGCGTCGTAAAGCATCGAATACAGCAAAGGCATCTTCGCTGTGTGCATTTCCATTCTTGCCTCTCATGGCTCATCCACTCAAACCAAATGCAACAGATCCTCGGCCTTCATTTCCTGCTCATGCTCTGCTCTTTTATGTGAACTTCCTCAGGCAGGCTGAAGAAGGGTGGAGGCAACAGCGATATGGATAATTGGGCATTGTCTCCTTAACAGAGCAGTGGCCAAATGTATTTAAGCGCCGAGACACCTCAGTGTCAACTATTCAGCTATTTCATTTTAAACACCAACAAGCCTGCAAATAGAGATTCTCTTCCAAAAATCTGCTATACTGTAACGCTGCGTTCTCCGTTCTCTTTCGCATGTAGCAAAATTAATATTCTCTGAGAATTTCAGTGACTGCTGTGCCCGAAACAAAAACGCACGCTCACAATGAACCGAACGCACAAACAGTGTCTCACTCCCTTGAGCGACTGAAACTCATCTGAGCTGATAAACAGGTCAGCAAGGCGTTGGAAGACAGCGAGGCTGCACAGCTTTCATTCACTGTAACATCGCACATTCATTAAAAGG